TCTGTAGTGCATATTGATGTATAGAAGACATATTAATAGTAGAAATAAACGACCTTATAACACCAAAATGTTGTTTTTATTTAATTAAACACTCAACGTTTCGCTTTACAGCTTCTTCAGGAGCGTTCACTAAAACGCAAACCCAAACTAACAGTACAAAGGTACAAAATCGATAGCAAGTTTATTTGTAACTGAAAGTTAAATGATTACAGATTCAGAGTTTTTAAGGATACTTATAAACCACAGTTATTGCTGTTTCTTTGCAAAATATCTATTTTGTGAATGCTGTCGATTTTGAAGCTTTGTTTTGTCAGTTTCGATTTGTGTTTTAGTGAATGCTCCTGAAGAAGCTGTAAAGCGAAACGTTGAGTGTTTAATTAAATATATACAACATTTTGGTGCTATAAGGTCGTTTATTTCTAGTATTAATATATTGTACAGTTTTTCTAATTAAAAAATGAGCAATTACTTGATTTACTTTTTAGACAAGAATAAAACGTCACTCCTTAAAACCATAAATGTTACAAAAATTAGTTTGAAAAACAGACTTTTTAAATATTTATTTGTAGCTTAAAATTAAACGATTACTAATTTAGAGTTTTTAAAGATACTTATAAACCATACTTATTTCTGTTTCTTTGCAAAATATCAATTTTATGAATGCAATCAATTTAAATTAAAGTTCACATTCTCAAGAATTACCGAGTTTGCTTTGTATTTACGAGACATAAGATCATTCGCTCACATTCATGTCCTTTGTTCGGGAAAATATTATCAGATCCAAGTCTTAAAATGATCAAAATCTGTAGATCATTGTAAGTTGTTTAACTTGTGAACTGTAGTTGTTTAACTCGTGAACTGTACTTGTTTAACTTGTGAACTGTGCTTATTTAACATGTGAACTGTAGTTGTTTAACTCGTGAACTGTACTTGTTTAACTTGTGAACCGTACTTATTTAACTTGTAAAGTGTAGTTGTTTAACTTCGTGAACTGTACTTGTTTAACTTG